CCCGCCGCAGGGGGCAGGGCGGCAAAGGCGGCCGAGCCGCGCGCGCTGTGCGCGATGTTGCCGATGGCCTGTCGACGCGTGACCAGTTTGTGTGTAGAGCGGATGTCGGATGTTTTTTTGGGGGGGCATGCATGGTCGTGCCGTCGCCGCGTTTCATGCCGGAAGTGGTCCCAAGTGCGAGCACTCGTGCGGGGCGGGCCCGCGGCAACGCCAACCACTAAAGGCAGCAAAGTGGTTTCAGCTCGGAAAACTTGCTTCCGCCGCGGCAGCTGTTGTGACAGCGCGTCTTGAGGGGCCGCGCAAGCCTCATCCGCGCCCCATCGCAAAGCTGCAAAGCGGCAGGCCAGCCGCCACGCGTGCACACAGCTGCTGCACGTGCGGCTGCACATGCCCGCGTGTGCGGCGACTGCACCCTCTCCGTCCCTTGAACAACCCCGGGCAGGCGCTCACACCCGCAGATCCTGCATCGGACTGCACCCACCCTGCAGACGCAGTTCAGGCCATATTCCTCTAGGCAAGGCTCCGTGAAGTCGCCGCCCAGCGGCAGCACTGAGGGGCCCGGAGGAACGATGTGCCATGGCCTCTGCTGGACCAGGGCCGCGAGGCCGCGAGCCAGGCCCAGCTCAGCCGCGGCCGCGCCCATCTGCTCCTGGGGGTGGGTGGGGTTTTGCGAGGGCCGGGCGGCGCGGGGAGGGCTGGAGGATGGGGAGACAAGCGGCGGCACGGGCGGGAGGGTGTGGCCAGCCGGACGGCGCAGGAGCGGCGGACAGCGGACGGGCGAGTGATGCCACTCCTGACGCCGCTGCGGCTGCTGCTGCTGCTACTGGCGGTTGAAGATCGCAAACCCGAGCGTCGGGAAGACGGCAGTCCACGCAGCGGGTGGCCCCTCACCGTGCGTGGTATGTTGTATTGAGACTGCAAGCGAAGAGAGCGCAGCGGCGGCCACAACAACTGAGTACAGAGAAGCCTGCTGCAGTCTGCTGCAGCTGGGCGCCCAAACCCAGCAGGGTTGCCGGCATGCACAATGCGTGCCAAGGCGACACCCCCATTGCGCGCGCTCCGCCCGGGATGCATGCTACGGGGCATATCCCGGTGCTCCCGCCAGCCGCACCGCCACACACCAGCACGGCGAGCTTGCTGGCCGCCTCCCAAGCTGCGACCCCGCCGCCCAGAACCAGTTCAGCCAAGGCCTGCAGCGACCTTGGCTCCAGGAGGGTGTGCGCCAGCGCCGCAGAAGCTGGCGCGCTGCTGATTATCTGCGGCGCTTGCGCCGCTCTCAGCTTGGGAAAATAGCTGTGAAAAGGGGGGGTGTTGGATTCAAAGTAAGTGGGGGGCGGACATGACCTTGAGCAGGCGGGGTTGTCGGCCGTTTTGCATGACTGGCTCGTGCGTGGGCGACGAGGGGCGAGAGAGCAGCTGTTGTCAAGAGGGGGCGGGATCGATGTCACTCACTCGCCCTTGTAGTACTGTTCGTCCAGCTGCAGCAGGCGCGTGTGCTCCACAAAGGTCCACACAGCTGTGTGGAACCGCGCCTCGGCGCTGCTATCTGCGCGGGCCATGAGGGGTCAAGGGGGCACACGGCATGAGGACGGGCAATTTCAATTCAGGGCATCCTTAGGGAACCTCCTGGCTGAGTGACAGGACGCATCAGAGCTGCGACAAATTCAGCAGACGATAGCGCCAGCTTCGGGCTGGTCCTGTGGGCCATAGTGTGCCCGAGCGCAGCACTAGCAGGCAGCGGCCATGGCCACGGCCGCAGCAGCCCCCGCAGCCGGGCAGCATGTGACCTGTCTGTGTAGCAGACCACATTAAGCAGCGATTTGCGCCGTTGCGCTGCCGGTAGGTACGATATCACCCCGTTTACAGTGTCACTAGGATGCACCGACCCCGAGATAGCTCACCAGCGACCGGCCGTAATCTCGGCATGGATGAGGCAATAGGGAAATTACAACCACCCGCTGTAACAGTAGGGCGCCAGGCGCATTCGACCGATCTGACAAGGCACGCCTGCACACAGCTGCAGTCAATGTCTTCAGTTGCCTTGCTCAGAAAAACTTAGATGACGATGACGATGGCGACGGAACGCTGGGACATGAGGCAAAGTGAAGCCGTGTATCCAACGTCCAGCACAGTCGCAGTGGCCGGTGGCCGGACGCACAGCAGACACAGCATTTGCCGATGACCGGCAGCACCTGATGCGGTTGGGCTAGCCAACCCAACAAACAGATATTCATTCAAGCAGAAATTCACATCAAGGGCAGGCCGTTGAAATTGGCATCAGGGATACAACGCAGCGCTGCTTGCCACGCCAGCACGAGCAGTAGCACAATCGCAGCAACACAGCATGCTGAAGGCCCCTCAGGCCTGCCAGTGCTGCTACGGGAGGGAGGCGCGTGCCATCCACGCATGGCTGTGGCCTATGATGTAGGTATGAGACCCTACTTGTATAGACGGGGCACACTAGAAACTGCAGCGAGTCAGCACATTCCCCAAGTATTGCATTCCCTGCCTGTTGTCGACCGTGGTGTCGAAGTCCCGACTCTTCAATCATCGCCTTGCGAATGACGTGCCTGGCACAAACAATTGCATCATCTTGACACAGTTATACAAACCTGTCCATGCTTGTGCTTCAACACACACGCAACCATATGGTCCACTGCCTGCCTCACCATCGCGTCCACATCAGCGCATTCTTCCCACAGCCTGGTTTGCAAGCAGCAAGGCTCCACCGCTTTCAATGTGCTGCAAGAGACATGGGTCTTCCGGCTGTCCCTCCTCTCTGCCCATGAGCAGGTCATTAATCTTAGTCCCTACCGGCCTCCCCCTCATCAGCCTGAGCCAGCACCTGGGCGGCGCTGCCCGTTCGTTGCCTGCAACATCGCAACAGGCTTGCTTCCCCTCAGGCACAGGCTGTACTACATTATGCTCTTTGTGAGTGTTGTTGTTCATCCTCGTGGTGGATGTCATCAGATTGGACACACCACAAGTACGATCTCACGCGGTAGAAGAGCAGCGAACAAGCAATGCAGTTTAGCAATTAGATTAGTATCTGGTCACCATTACCTGATAGTTCCCCAGGCTTTGAGCTGCTGAGTGGTCTTCGGCAGTGGTGAGAGTGACATGTTGGTTTCGCTGTTCCTGCGCTTTCTACGCTGCGTCAAGGCCTGCATGGATGGATATTACTAGCTAGTATGATGGCTCTGCTCTCGAGTGCAAGCAAACCTGGGCATTTGCCTCGGCAGCACTGACGCAATCCCACACTGCGCATAGTTGTGCTGCAACTGCGGCGCATGCCTGTGGCGGCAACGGCACTGCCTTATGTGTGCATGTGTGTCCGTACACAGGTCAGTTGGTTCTGGTTAGGCGTCGCAGCGAGGGGTTGGGTGTGGCAGGGCGCCCACGCTGCGTCACGCGCAGCGTGCGCCCCCACCGCAGCAGCAGCATCCGCAGCTGCAACAACCTGCAGCTGCAGAAGCAGAGACGGCGTAATTACATAAGCAGCATCGGCAGCTCTCGTAGCAGCAGCAGCAGCAGCAGCAGCAGCAGCAGCAGCAGCAGCAGTAGCAGCCATGAGCAGCTTGGCGGCCGCAAGGGCGGACAACTTCCGCTACCCGCCAGATTTCGACCCCAAGAAGCATGGCACCCTCAACAAGGTGTGCTACTTCCTGCGCTGCAGGGCGTGGCCGCTGTACGGATGGGCGTAACACCTGGCAGCCGCGACAGCCGCCGACGAGGCATCCCCTGCTGAGTACAGGCCGTTCCCTGCGCTCCCCTCGTCAGCTCCAGCCCCCCTCTCATCCCATCCACGCCGTTCTCTTGCGCCCCGCAGTATCATGGGCAGCACGCGCTGCGCGACCGCGCGCGCAAGATCGATGAAGGCATCCTTATCATCAGGTCGGCAGGGACGGTTGCAGTTGCCGTTGTGTTCGCGGTCGCGGTGCGTCTCTGCTGCCGCATGTCTCAAACCCGCAAGGACACCTTGCACACCTGCATGATCCTGCTCTGACAGGTTCGGCCGGGGAGCAAGGGCTACGTTTGTACCAACACCTCATGGTCTGGATGCACACCCAACGCCAACCGCACCAACGCCAACCGCACAGGTTTGAGGTGCCGTTCAACATATGGTGCGGCAAGTGCGGGGAGCACATCGCCAAGGGCGTGCGCTTCAATGCCGAGAAGAAGCAGGTGAGGGTGACGGCGGCTGGCTGGCGTAAGCCTGCGTTTCCCCTGAAGAGGAGAGCCCGCCTGGCCATGCGCAGCCCCGCACCCCTGGTTCCCTCGTAGACAGTCCCAGCAACGTGCCGTTTGGTGTTTTGCTCACTTGCTAATCGAGCCGGCGAGCCCGTCTTCGCCCCCATCACGGCGCGCTGTCGATCGCTCAACCCCACCAACGCCCTGCCCCTTTTGCCCGGGCTGCCGCCAGGTGGGTAGCTACCACTCCACCAAGATCTGGGCGTTCACCATGCGCCACCACTGCGGTTGCAGGATCACGATAGAAACGGACCCCAAAAATGCGGAGTACGTCGTTAAGGACGGCGCACGCCGCAAGGTGGAAGAGTACGACCCGGCCGACGCGGGCACCGTGCAGCTGCCCGATGAGGCGGAGCGCCACGCGCTCAACGCCGACCCGCTCTCGCGCCTGGAGCGCTCGACTGAGCAGGCACGGGCCGCGGCGACGGGGCGCGCGGCGCTGGCGGCGCTTGCGGCGGATCGGGAGGAGAAGCGGGACGGGTACGCGCTCAACAAGCGGCTGAGGGCGCAGCTGAGGGCCAGCAAAAAAGAGGACGCCGCGCTGGACGACAGGTGGGCCCGGGCTTTGGGGGCCCCCGGGGCCTGGGCTGGGGGATGGGATTCCGTGTACGGTGCGGTCCGTCTGTACGGCTGGGAAGGGGAGGGCTGTGCGGGCTGGCGGGGAGGCGCTGGGCTCAGACAGGCTGACGGTTTCAAGGCGCTGTGGGCGCTGTGAAGGACGGCTGTTGCTGCACGCAGCTGCGGCGGCCCCTTGCGCTTGTGTTGACACGCACCCCCCTCACCGCCGCACGACACCCCCCCTCCCACAGGCGCAAGCAGCTGGGCCTCGCAGACTCCATCACGCTGCTGCCAGAGTCTCAGGACGATGCCCAGGAGGCGGCGCTGGCGCTGTTTGCGGCAGACGACGGGTCAAAGTTCCGGAGCAGCTGGCAGGGCAAGAGGCGGAAGATCATGACGGAGGGCATCATGCCCGCCGGCGGCGGCGGAGGCGGTGCGGCGGCAGGCAGCGGCAGAGGCGGCGGCGGCAGAGGCGGCGGCGGGAGACGGGGGGGCGGCAGGGGTGTGGGGCCGGTGCTGTCGCCAGCGGCGCAGGCTTTGGCGGCGAGGGTGGTGCGGAAAGGTGGCAAGGGATCGCTCCCCGGCCTGTGATCACGAGCGCAGCATTTTACTACTCCTGCAGGTTGTCATCTTTTTTTGCCAGTGTCCAAGTAAACATCCGCAAATCGGCAGCACTTCCCATTTCTTGCTGTAGTGCCCGTGTACCTTGCCCCACTGTACTTTCTCAAAGGCGACTCAGCCTGCTCCTTAGTGTGACCGGAACGGGCAACGTCACACAAATGTTGAACCGCATGCGTACCTTTGTAACGCCCATTTACCTGCTAGTTTGGATTCGATAAGGTTCGGATCAACCGCTCGTCTGTGCACCTTCCTGCACACTCGACAGCTTGGTGGCGTGCGCACAACACCGCATCGCTGCGTCGCAGGTGACACTGCACCGCACCCCCTGAATTTCAAGCAGGCAAAACTAAAAGCTTCCAGCTTCTGATGAGCAATACGGCACCAGCAGCAGTGGGCTCAGCAGTTAGCACGCGCCTTCTGTACTGCGTGTCCACATTGTGTGACCTGCCCCACCCCACCTGCCCCACGTATACCTCCCACCTAGCTTCAAGATCCAGCAGCAACGTTTCAATTGGTTTCTCTGGTAGTTTTACATCTGCACACCGCCTGCAGCCCTCATTTTGTCGCCCGTCACCGTGTCCGGTGACCTGGCAGCCATTGTAGGCCTTACGGTAGGCTGCGGTGAAATCCATACGGAATGGCGCCTCAGGACGATATGACTGTGGTGGAGCTGGAGGAGCATTTCGGAGAGAAGAAAGGGGGCGATCTCGACGCGCCTGTGCCCGGCAGGAAGACGCGTGTAACCGCTGCTTGCAGCTGCATTCTAGGTGAGCGCTGGCCCCTTTGGAGCGCTGGGTCCCCATGGCAACGACAGGCTGCAATTCATGGCACGTCAGCGGATGACGCAGGTCACACTGATTTGGCATGGCTAACACACCCGCCGGCGCCCGCCCCCTTTCTTTGGTATCATCAACCGCACTCGCAGGCAATGAGATCTGCGAGCGCCTGGCCTACTGTGAGCGCCGCGCTTGGTGCCGCGCAATTCCACAACGCGGGGTCTTCTCGCCTCGACATCACTGCCAGCCCCCTGGGCGCCAGCGTCTCAGGGACCGCGATCCGCCTTGCGCCCGGGCGGGCCACTCCGCGCCAACCCAAGCCTTGCATGATCAGAAACCATGAATTCATGCTGTGACCCTCCTGCACGACGCGCAGACGGGCTGCAGACCAACATGGGGCTGTACTTGAAGCAGTACATGGGTGAGCGCCAGCACCAAAGACACCTGGCCAGGGATGAAACTCTGGGAACAGGGGCCGCCCGACCCAATTGTGTTTGAGCAACTGCAGCTGCATGGCCATCCCTGATGCAAAGCAATTGGCAGGGCCTGCCCCCTGCGGCATTCAGATGGGAGTCCAAGCCTTGAGACGCTCGGCGTCAGCGGCTCCCCCACGCTCAGGGGGCGAGCTGCACAGCCAAGCACCACTGGCAGAGGGGCCATGCACGCTGCGCCTGCACAGCTGACTGGAGCCGTGTCGCATGTGGCATCTCCCCTGACTCCCCACCTTCCCGGTCGCAGGCTACCCCGCGGACACCGCCAGCCAGCTGCTGCAGGCCTGGAAGGGCACAGTATACCTGACACCCCTTCTCGGCGCCTTCCTGGCAGATTCATACCTGGGCAGGCACGTGGCACGCTGTGCCACAGGCGGGGGCCGCACACTGCCAGGCCCCAAGGGGGAATGTCAACCAGGCACAACTGTCCTATGGCCACTCGTCGAGTACAGTACATGCACTCATGCAGATTGCAGCACTAATCACGGACCCACGCACACCCTCAGACGTCCGCCGTTGCTGCGGCTCGGTGTCACAGCCCACACGGCTACTGTGCATGCTTATTGCGCCCTGACTGCCACCCCGCAGGTTCTGGGTTATCCTGATCTTCTCCGTTGTCTGTGAGTGGCGTTGTCCTGCTTTGATGCGGCGTGTTGTGGTGTGCGGGCAGGGACTCCTCTGCTGCACAGCCGACAGCTCCGCGGCAGCCGCGAGGCGTCCTGCCTTGCGCCCCTTGCAACCCCCCTTTTTTGACCCGCCCCGCCCACCACGCTCTGGCCGAAACACACCACAACCCCCAGACCTGATCGGGATGGGCGGTGTCACGGCCGTCAACCTCATCCCCAGCATGAGGCCAAACTACCAGGCGGCCCCGGCCAGCGGCGACTTTGGCCCCACGCGCGGCATGTTCTGGGCGTTCCTGTGAGCAGGCGACACCCGTGCAGATCCGGACCGCCAGGCCCGCGCACAGGAGGGCACAGCTGCTGGGTTGCGCCCCAAGCGCAGATTGAGGAAAGTGTGCCCGTCCTGCACGCATGAACGTGCAACAGGAACGGTCTGATGTGTGTCACCCCCACCCCAACCAACCTCACCAACTCCCATCCCTGCCACCCCCCCTGAAGGTACCTGGTGGCGCTGGGGTCTGGCGGCATCAAGCCCTGCGTCAGCAGCTTCGGGGGGGACCAGGTGCGCGGGGCGGGGCAGGCCAAGGTTGGTTGATGACGTCGCCAGATCAAGCAGGCAGCCAGCAAGCGGGGCAGGCGTGCTGCCCAGCACCCGCCCACCCAGTCAACTTTCGGCCCGTGCGGCCAGCCGCCTCTGGCTGCGCCGGCGCATGCGCCACTCTCCCTGCCACTGCACTGGCACATCACAACCGAGTGCAGCCGTCGCTCTTGGGGCCATTTGCCTCGCGATCCACTCCCCGCTCCTCCTCTTGACCCCCTCAGTTTCGCGAGGACAGCAAGCGCGAGCGCGGCTGGCGGAGTTCCTTCTTCAACTGGTGAAGGGATTGGAAGGGGGCCAGGCGTTGATCGCTGCGTCGGTTGGCGGCCGAGGAGGGGCGGGGCGGTCGTCGCCACTTCACCAGCTGGTGCTGAGTCTTGTGAGGCACTCGCACGGCTGCTGCAATGCGCCTGCCGTGCAGAGGCACGCACGTATGATTGTGCAGCACTGCCTTTTTGCCTCTTTCCTGGACGCTGCCTCTGATTATGCTCCTATTTACTGAAGCGCCCTCCCGTACCTACCCATGTGATCCCGCCTCAAAGGTTTTACTTTGCAATCAACATTGGTGGGTGTTGCCTACAAATGCAGGTTGCAGCCACGGGGCGTTTACCATGCAGAAGGCCCAAACGCGCCAGGCGGGCCGCGGCCGCCCGTGCTGCCGCAGGGTCAGGCCCAAGGTGGTGGGGTCAGCGGGCACCCATGCTCAGCACGCACGCAGCCCGTGCCGATTATGGCACCCCCCCCCCCCACGACCACCACCCCCGGTGCCCCGCAGGGTCGCTGGTGGCCACCCTGGTGGTGGTGCCGGTGCAGGAGAGCAAGGGGTGAGCGCGCAGCTTCGGATCAGTCAAACAGGAGAGGACCATATTTAGGCGGCATCTGTCTCGGCTGCTCGGCTGCCGTGCAGGGGAAAACAGGCCATGAGCACGAGAGATGGCTCCGCGCAGCCTGTTTAATACGCCACACCCTGTGCCACAAGCCGCCCGTAGCGCTGCGCGTTGACCTCTGCGACTGATTGCATTGTTCCAGCCCTGGCTTGCTGCGCCCACACGCCTCCCTGCGCAGCTACGGCATCGGATTTGGCATCCCCACGGCCGCCATGGGCGCTGCCATCCTGGTCTTTGTCTTTGGCGCTCTCATCAAGATGTGAGGTTCCGAGGATTTGGATCTGTGCAATGCAAATTGCAATTTGTATTGCACAGATCCACAGCGTTTGGCTTGCACAACAGCAATACCGACAATCAACCCCGATGCTCTCAAGGCCCGATGCGGTGTTGTTCGTTTTGGGGGTTGGGGGGCAGGAGATGCACCACCTCAGCGTGCAAGTGCCCTGCGCATCCCTGCCGGTGCCACCACTGCACGATGCGGGCCGCTAGGGCCAGCACCTGAGCTGCCCTGACCCTCCACCACAAATCTGATGTTTGCACCTTGTGGCCATTAAAACCGACTTTGGATACTGCACTCTTGCATTCCCACCCGTGCACCCGCAGATACACCTTTGTTCCGCCAGAGGGGTCCCCCTTCTTCCGCATCTGGAAAGTTCTGAGGGGCGCCTGGATCAACCGCAAGCTGACAGCACCCGCTGATGTGGCGGAGCTCTACGGTCAGTGGCGTGGGGCAAAGCGTAGTGGGGGACGTTCGTGGAGGCGACAGGTTGGAGCGGTGACCTCCACCTGCACGAGCACTTGGTTCTTGGCTACAACCTTGTCTCTTGACACTACAAGAACGCCTTGCTCCCATGCTGCAGCCATGCCGGGCTGCTGAAACTTGCCTCTTGTGCTTCCGCTGTGCACTCGACACACTGTGCAGAGCCCGCGGCCGGCGAGAAGTCCAACGTGAAGTTCAGGATGGCCCACACCAAGCGCATGGCCGCCCTGGACAAGGCCGCCATCCGCAGCCCTGCAGCTGGGGCCGCTGCGGCTGGCGGGCGCCGGGGCTACCAGGTCAGCCTGACAGAAGTGGAGGAGACCAAGTCCTTCATGAGCCTCATGCCCGTGTTCCTGACAGTCATCATCTGGCAGGTGCGAGCCCCCATCGCTTGCGCTAGTGCTTGTCCAGTGGGGGCCAGTGGCTTTTGTGCAGGCGTGGGGGTGGTGGAGGCAGGTGTTCCTGTGATCTGCAAGCAGCACTTGCTGGGTCCGTGCAGGTTGCAGTAGTGATAGAAGCTTCTAAATGACCTGGCAGTGTGTCAAGTGCGTTGGGTCTCACCGACTACGTACACGGACATACACTGACCACCTCATGGAATGTGCTTGCTCCCCCAGATGGCGTACGACCCCATCTTCAGCCTGCTGCCCTACCCCGGTGACGTCATGGACCGCCGCCTGGGCAACTCCAACTTCAAGATACCCGCCTCCTCCATTTCCTTTGCCAACACCTTTGGCGTGCTGCTCACCATCCCGCTGTGAGGCCGCTGGGTGTGGGCCCCGCTGGCAAAGCTGAAAGCTGCTCCAGCCGCTGCCGCTGGGGCTGCAGCTGCTGCAGATACCGCCTCCCTCCTGCCGACTTCATCACTCCTGCTGCCACCAGCACATGTTGACCCCGACGCTACGCCCCCCCCCCCCACCCCAGTTGGGACATGATAATCGTCCCCGTGGCCCTGAAGTTTGGCAAGCCCATCAAGATCACAACCCGCATCGGGATCGGCTTCATCGTACAGCTGGTCGCGCTGCTGTCGGGTAGGTGTTCATTGCTGTGCACACATGAATGTGCATGCGTGTGCGTGCGTGCGTGCGTGCATGCGTGCCTGCACGCCATGTCAGACCATGCGGGAGTTGTGAGACCCATTGGC